TAGCACCACTGGAGCGAAGAGATGAGGAGCTGTTCGACTGGCGTGGGGCAGCGAAAAGGTATTTATCAAACAATCTTTCCACTCTAGCTTAAGGCTTTCATTTTTAAAAAATTACAGTGAATTATGCTTGCTTTTGTTTTGGACAATTTGTTGTTGCTGGACAATTTGTTTCTAAAGTCACATTTTTGTGGAAGCTTTCTAATTTCAAGCACTTTTGCGAAAAAAAAAATAGTTTTTATTTGCCCCATCTAAAGTAGAACACCAGCAATGTTTATTATGGTCCAAACTGTTGAAAAAGTTTAATTCCAGTTTGTCCAGTTCTTAAATTTTGCTTTCCATCTCCTCGCAAACAAATTTATTTGGTATGTATGTTCCAGATCGCATCTCAACATTGCTGCTCAACCAGATGGAAGCCATCCCACTTAACAGCAGGACAAGAGAATCATTTGACAATATAATATATCTAATTGTATCATGTCATTCATCTGACTTCTTGACTTCTTTGTCTTGGATCGTAGTATAGAGCATGGATTTTGTTGTCTTGGATCGTAGTATAGATCATGGTATATGGCTCTTTGGATTGTAGTATAGAATGGTGTTTGTTGTATTGGTTCCCGTGTATTAGTTTTTACATTTTGGTTGGATTTTGCAGGGTTTATTGCTTGTATTTTGTGTTGGGTGTAGAAAAAAAAAATCTAATCTCTTCCTTATTTTCTTGACATCAAAACCATCTGCGTACTCCTGCATCATACATCATTTCATAGAGAGCAAAACTGTAAAATTTATTACTGTTCAGAATGTTAAGCATTTTTCCAATCCATTCAGTACTTCCTATTCATTTTAAATATGTAGTGAAATCATCCTATTGTCTCTTATGGATTCAGTCCCTCACTGTTGTCAACCTATGGACCTTTCAGGTATTTAGTATTAAGAATTTTTTACAATGACCTTTTCAAATTAGTCTGTCTTCAAAATTGAGGGCTGTGTTTTGCCGATAAAATGTGAAGGAAGTTTATAATATATTTCCATGGAATTTTGAAGAGTTCAAATTTATTTAATGGCATAAAAGTTCAGACTATCCTAAATCTTCTATGTAAACCCCCATCAGGGTGTCGAGCACATTTACCAGAGTTGAGCATATGCACCTTGAATGAACTCGATACTACCATTTTCTGGACATCTATATCAACGTTACTGTGCTCACTTGTATCATACATCATTAAGACCAAAGAGAAAAACTGTAGATGGTATTCGAGTTACTACGTATTTTTTACTGATAACCCATAGTTCTAAATGTACTTATTCCTTATTTTTACTAAAACTGACTTCATCTATTGTGCTACATACAAAAGATCGAAATAAATAATCTAATCTAATCTAATCTAATCTAATCTAATCATATGCTTGTAAATTGTTTCATTGGTATTGGCTGTTCAGCAATTCTCAAATGAATTGATTACTTCCTATTTAGCAATCTGTGCAAATTGTTCGACCATTTATTAAGTTTCATATTACTCTAGTTCATGTTCTGAAACTGAAATTAACCATACTGTTAAAGTACTGTCTCGTGTGGAATTGTGTGCTCCTCGTTAACATGTCAGCTAATTTTTGATATTTTGCATTTGAGACAAGGAACTCAACAAACTAGTTGGTACTGAATGTGAATGTATGTATCCTATTGTGTCTTGGAAATATAATTTATTGGAAATGCGAGGTGAACTATTTAAAATAACCCAATCAATTTGCCACTGCCACAGTTATGCACAGGACAAAAATTGAATTTTTAATTTCTTGGTAGTTCTCTAATCTTGAAACATGGTGTATATTATTGATGTTAAATCTGCACTAAGGGGAAGGAATAGAACAATGACGTTCATATTGTACACAGTCCCTTGAAGACCGTCTCTACCAGAAAGAGAAAACGTACTCCCTGTCCCCCTCGCTTCTCCTGTAGACGGGAGCAGGGATCTGCGTAGGGCGGGTGGCATTGAGCCCCTCTCCGCGAGCGCTCGCCAAGCTGCAACAAGCGGCGAAACGCGTTGGTGCGAGAGAGACGCACAGCTAGCGGGCATAAGAGACCACGGGCAGGGTCATGGGTTCAAGGGTCGGGGCGGGGACTCCCGGGTCATGGGTTCAAGCCCTGCCGCCAGCGCTTTTTTTTTTTTTTTTTTTTGGGTGAGCAAAAGAGGAAGAAATCGCTTGACTCAGCTACCGGTGGGACTCGAACCCCCGTGAGTTAGATGGAAGCTCTTTCTGCTCGGACAATCGGTCGGACAATCTAAATACACCCGCCGGCGCTTTTTTTTCTTGGTCGCCCGGTTCGAATGCTACCAGATTCCATCCAACTCATACCGGGGTTCGAGTCCCGCCGGTAGCTGGGGGTCACGCGATTTCTTCCTCTTTTTTAGTCGCTCAAGAAAAAGGAGAGCCGGCAGCAAGGCCCTCCGACCCGGGAGTCGCCGACCCTACACCGCGGGTTGCTGACTAGTAGAGCTCCTGATACAGTACGAGAAAATTCAAACCCAAAAACGAATACTTTGACGACGAGTATTAGAACCCCCGATTCACAGTTCAAACATTGCAGCGATGTCAAAGAGCCAGGAGGCCGGTCTCGAAACGTGAGGTGAGAGGGTGTCGTGATGGAACCGGTTTTTCTCCCGCTCAATCTACTGCGCTGACTCGTGCCTTGAGCCTAGCTCGCCCGGCCACTCACTTTGTGGCGTCGTAGCCGCGCCGGTAGAGAGTCGGCCCCGTGCGCCACAAGTCAGGGGATCGAATCTCCCATCCCAGCTACATTTTTCTGAACCGGTCGAACTCTTGGGAGTTGAACTTAAACCCGTCATTTCGACGGGGCACCTTCGTGGATGAACGAACGGTCTGGTGGTTAACGCTGTCCCACTGGACTGGGGGTGACGATGACTCGGCACTGGGGTCCCATTAGGGGCAAAGGTTCGACCCCCGGCGAAAGCGTGCCGGGTAAGAGCCATCCCAGCCACAGCGGGAGTGGTAACCCGTGTGGAATTGATAAGTCCTTAGAATCTGGCTCATTGAAGGGATTCCACGACTCGGAA